AGTAGATCATTTATGAAAACCAAATAAAGAAATGTAGAGAGTACCCCTCCTTGACGAACTCCTTTAGATACGGGAAACCAGTTCGAATTTGCGTTATTTACCACAACAGAACAGGCGGTATTCGTATGGCAGTCGTGTATAAGAGTCCAAAGCCGACCAGATACTCCCAGGCGGTGCAGCTTGTACATAAGACCATGTCGCCACACTGTGTCAAATGCTTTCTGGGTATCCAAGAAAGCAACGTATACCGGACTACCAAGCTCTATATTATGATATATAGTTTCTTGGAGGTTGAAAGATGCAGTGAGACAGCCGAGCTTCTGCTGGAATCCCTGTTGTTGTGTGTTTGGAAATTCAATAGCAGAAAGAACATGAGATTTTATCCTGCCTAATAACAGTTTTTCAAAAATCTTAAGAAGGCACGGAAGTAAGGCTATTGGTCTATAACTGTCCGGGGATTTCCGTGGTTTGTTGCTTCCCTTGTGTATAGGGACAATAATGTCTTTTTTCCAGGAGTCTGGGATTTGACCAGTTTTCATGATTGAGTTAAAAAGATGCTGTATACATAGTTTAAGTTCTAAGCCTCCGTAGATTATATGTTCGTTCTGAATTTTGTCTAACCCAGGAGCTTTTCTGTGTTTTAACTCACTGATGATCATGGAAATTTCGTCAATGGTGACATCTCCGCCTGGGAAGGATTTGTCAGTCAGAGTTTTGGTAGTTGTTTTCAGATTGGTGTAAGAATTTTCAATATATTGGGAGAAGTCAGAGTTAAAGGTACCGTTATCCTGTGGATTGTATACACGTTCAAAGTGTTGTGCGAAACAGTTGGATATATCCTCTGGGTTTGAGTATGTGACATCATCAAGTTCTATTTCAGGATATGTTCGAGAGCTACGGGGTCTTTGGCGTTTGATGAGCTTCCAAAATAACCGCACATCACACTCTGAGGCTTCGTCAATGTCCTTAAATACCTTGGTTAGGAAGTCGTCGTGCGCAGATTGAAGCCCTTTACGAAAGTACCTTTTGGCGCGCTTGTAGTTCCTATAGGATTCGTGGCCCATACCACGCGGTCGACCTTCACTCATCCAAATCCTGCGTGTCTCACGTTCTTCGTCATGGAGTTCTTTAACAGCCCCTTTGCTGCGACCTTAAAATCGAAAGCGGTCCAGTTCAATTTTCCGGAATTTATGGGTTAAACATGTTCTTTTCAGTAGCGTTGTATGTAATTATTGAAATCTGTATGACGAAAAATTATAGAAATATATGTTAAAAGCATATGCTTACACATTAATCATAGATTATTTCAGCGATTTATTGTAATGTTAAGCTTCAAATGGGTAGCCGAAAAGGTTCCAAATAACGTCCTTAAGTGCAGTCATTCTTTACATATCAACTGAATATTATATAGATGATGATCAAAGTCGGGAATTAGAAAAATCATTATACATAAAAAAAAAATTACTTTTATTGATTGATTTCATAATGTCTAGTGATACGAAATGTACGGATAAAAAAAATTAAACAGTTTCAAATTATATTCTGTCACTCGAGATCTTACGAGAAAAAAGGAAGGAAATAAATGACATGTAAATAATTTTTAGAAAAAAGGATACTTCAAGTTGTATATTATGAAACCAGATACATGTATATAAATATTTACAAGGTTTTGAATATTTGTACATTTATAACGCTAAAAACGATAAGAACACAGAGAAAACAAAAACGTACTGAAATGCTTTTAATATGAAAAAATTTGAAATGCAATATTTTGAAGGTATATGTACAAAGTAGCCAAATCTCATGAATTAATGTGAATTTAACAACGAAAAAATAATATCTCTTAAAAAATGAATTATGTGATTTCGAAGAGTAACTTGCTCCGTGTGGACTTCTCAGGGAATGGCTATATTACATTATTAAAACGATCATTGTATCGCATAAGAAAAAAATATTTAATCTAATACCTTAACCTTCCTTTTGTAATTTAATCTGCTGTGTTTGCCACAGTATTTTATGAAATTGGTGAAGATATATTGCCGTACTTTTTTTCAAATTAATATAGCTATAATTTTTTAAAATGGTTATATTTTGAATACGGGTATGCTCCAAGTAAAATGACAACTGTCTGTGCTAATGTTTGTTCCAAATAAACAGAGAATTGTAATGTTGATGCTCTCAGTATATGTCAAATAAAATATTCAATATGGTTTGTTCACTCCAGTTTTGTATATGTCCCTAATAATTAACATATTCAGGGATTCAAATAAATTTTTTTTAAAAATCTCATCTCGTCGATCATTTTTCATACGCTTTTTACCTGCGGCGTTCAGTTCTCACTGCTATACCAGAGATAGTAAATTTTACAAAAATATTCCAATTATAACACAAACTTGAGCTAGCTTTTTGAAAGGGGTATATGTTAGCTCTTTAGATCTTTAGACTTTTTCAAAATATACTTCCGTCAATTTTATATTTAAGGAGTCATCCACGAGAAGTCTATTACTTGAATGCACATACATATGTACGCAAGAGAAAATAATGCGGAAAAATGTTTGTAACAATCAGAACTTTTAAAATTAAAGCAATATGAGCTGCATGTTTGACATCGGAAAAAAAATGTTGCAAATTTGTAATTATCTATTTCAATGACAGACAAATAGAACATTTATAAACTTCTGTTGTTCATATTTGCTATGAAAGAACTTTTTATACGCGTTGATTGAAGCAAAATTGCATTATTGTCGTCCCGTACAATAATGATTTCTTATATAATACTGTATACATGTATTCGGTTGTACAGAAATATTTCTTCTGAAACCTTTTTCAAACTTTATTTTGCTTTTATTGATCATAAGGTTTAGATTACATACATATTATTCATAATAATACGTTTTACCGGCAAAATAAAATTCTCAGAAATGCAGCTCATATTGCTTTAAAAATACATGCATCAGTATATGTACATTGATTTTGCGTTCTTTGAATAAATGAATTATATGGGAAGGGGGGGGGTTATACCTTTGCACAAAGAAAGCATGTGTACTTAATCATTTTTTGAAGTCTAAAAAGGAAGTTAAAACTTTCTTGTCTGTGACAATTTATACATATAGGATTAATAGGATTAGTCATCATACCTAAAAAATGTGATCGCTGGAAGCATTGCAGTAAATGGGATTTTTATTAAATGAAATAAAATGTGGCAAAAATTCTTATATTTATATTATAATCTGACTGAACACATCCTTGTACATCTTCGCTAGCCAAGTGTCCGATTCGTTTCCCTCTTCTCGAGTAGGAAATGAGGAAGACGAGTCGGACACTTGGCTAGAGAAGATGATCCTTGTACAATACACAGAGTTGACAGTTTTCTGTCTAAAGTCTAAAGGAGTATTTAGTTGTGTCAATCTATAAAATTGATAATTTACGGATAAACATATGTACCCAGCATGCATATAAAAAACACTGTGTAAGGTGTCATAAAACCGCAAGACAGCTGATACAAAATCTAATAATTATATATTTATTCCAGATAAAGGCCATAAACGAATGATGACCGGGCAATAAACAAACTTGAAGACTACAAGATATATAGTATTTAACACAGCTAAAAATTTATTCAAGAACCAAGTCATGTTTAATAATATTCATTTGATATTCGAGTATTCTCATGCAGGTAGTGCATGTAGATTCAATGCAAGCCTTTTCAAATCATGACAGAACCCCAGGGATAGAATGAAGACATAACAGGCGTTCTGATTTTTACATAGAAATACCGGTACATAGGTATATATAGTTATAGGTGAACATCACTGAAATCTTACAAGAGGCCCGTGGACCACAACACAAACCTGAGTCTTCATGGCCCTTCCGTTCCTCATCAGCAGTATTTTCTCCATTAAAACCTTGATACACTCTAGTAGCCCCAGTCTACCCCCCATATGTCAAGATTTGAAGAAACTATATACGAGGATTCTTCTTTATTCATATGACTAATCCTGGCCTATATTTACACATTCCTTAGGACGCTTCTCTATATGTGACTAAACATGGCTTTGGTGTTTGTTAAAATGAGTTTTTACATTTTTTTTCTCTCGATATATTCCATTGCAAATCTCTGATTTTAACTGTGCCCCAACCTACCTCTTTGAGGTGTAGATGTGAATAAATTTGAATTACCACTACCTGAGAAAGAAATTGTACCTAGTGGTTCTTGAGAAGAAGTTGAAAATATAATACTTTACAATGGACAGACAGACGGACAGCTACACAGACGGGCTCAGGGAAAAAAAAGTGATCAGAAAAACTCACTTGAGATTTCAGGTCAGGTGAGCTAATAAAGGGGGGTATAAATGAATGTCTTGTGCAGGCACGTAGCAACAGGGGGAGGGACCCCCCCCCCCCTCCCGCTTTTTCCTCATAAGTATATATTATGTAGTCTTATGTAGTATTGAAAAATAAAGTCCCAGTCAACGAGTGCACCCTCCTGACCTTGTCAGTTCTGCCATATTATATCTTCACATATTGGAAAAATGTAAATAACGAAAACATATTAATGACCCGATGAAGGTCTAAATCAATAGTCAATATTAAATTAAATGTCTCTTTGAGTGTCCTTACCTTTTCCTTTCAGAAAATTGAACATTTGAGCAATCTTTATGGAAAAAGATTTATGTAGCTTATTTTTCTGTTTTTATGTTTCTTGAAGATACACCTAATATTTAAATTCTACACTGATTATCGCCTTTTCAAATTTCTACAATGTAACATATGGAGATAACGAACAGCATTCAACATCAAAAGTCCATAAAACAATACAAAATAGGAGCAGAGCAAACACTGATCTCCAAAACATCAGAGGTGGGATCAGGTGCCATGGAGGAGTGAGCATACCCCGCCGACCGACCACACAATAAAAGTATAAATTGGTACTATATAGTCACAAGTCACGAAGTTTTGAACGCATTTCACGTATAATCTGTCTCAACTAAAATAATAAATTTTGTTCATGATCTAATGGTTGTTTAATTACCAAAATTATGTTTAAAAAAAATTAAATCTTGCAATCATGTGAAAAGTAAACATATATTGTGACAAAGAGCATCTTTTAAAATCAACATACACACACATAAATTCATCACAATTCCTATCATTAATGCATGCAAGGCTGCTGACTGATACACTTAAGAGTTTTACATTATGCTATATTTTTTGATATTAGACGTCGATTAAAAAGATAACCATAAAGCTTGTAATCCAATATTAAAGTTACATGACAATTTAATAAACGCATGCAATTTTTTGGTCTATTAATTGTATCAATACATTTAACTGCATTGTTCACCTTTCTCATTTAGGGATTATTATACACATATACTTTATAATTACAAAACACACACTCTCCTTTCTTGGCTTTCATTTCATTACACACAATGAACATTTTCAGACACCAAGGTTTCTACCCGAGAACCTTTGATACTAGTACATTAGACGAAACATGATTATACATAAACAAGTAAAATCAGCCTTATATAGACAACTCCTACTCAAAAATATATAGTTTGCTTTATACTCTTGAATTTATACGACAAACATTTTATATACAAATATAAACACTTCAAAACATTTAAAACGTCATTAGAATATACAAAATGTACAGAGGACAACAACAATAAGAGAGGTGGCCACTCAGTTTATGGTGGGTTTAGAGTTCTGTATGACCACCTCGCTATATTCCACGGAGGCCGCAGGAACGTCACTAGAATCACACTCTATGTCTTTTTTACTCTTTTTCTTCTTTTTGGGTTTAGTAAATTCAACGTCAACATAATTTAACTCTCCGGACTGCTGTAAAAAATAAGATAAAATATTAAGCACCATTAGCATTAATTACAACACACATAGCATCTCTACATTAAAACAAGCTTTCATTTTGGAAAAAATTGCACTTGCACTGTTATGCTTTACTTCTTGAAAAATAAAAATCAGTTTGGTTGCAACAAATGTTACGGCAAAATCATCGATACACTTATACTAAACAGAAAGTATACATTCAGCATGCTAATATTAGATATATTAAACAGAAAGTATACATTCAGCATGCTAATATTAGATTAATTAACAAAGTACGCATAGTTATCTTAATCTTGAAGCCTTATGTCGGTTTCCTTAGAAACCAGTCCTTTGAGTAAGGAAACAAGCTGTAAGATTTTAAATCTGAAATGCGTTGGCCTGTAAGTTTTATCACAGCATGCATATAAAGCTGTGTAAATGGTATTATCGTGCATTTGTCTCTATAATTATAGATGGGAGTTTGTTCGTCTTTCTCTGTCTGCTATAGTAGACTTTATCCTTTTCCTCTTATGCATGCAAATGTAAAAAAAAAATCTTTGCTCTAAGTTTCATACAGTCTTTTGGTTTCAATTGCTGGACTACAAACATACATTGAATATGTAGGTTTAAAACTGACAAAAATTCCAATTAAAAAAACATAAACTTCAATTTGTATACAGTGTATATTGAATCTTTTCATGGATAGCAAAATATACTAGCAATTAGCTTAAATAAAAGCATAACCAGTTAAAGACAGCATATAACAGTAAAGAAATTTCTTCTGTAAAACAGAGCCAGTGAGAAGTTTTTACGTTTGAACAAGTTACATGTCTCACAAGGAGATTATATAAGCCAGCAAAAGAGGTTACTCTTATACATTACATGCATACAAATAGTGCCGATACCCTGAAAGCCACCGAAGGTTTCTCAAATTTTGAAATTGAATTTTACAAGTCCGGAGTAAGGAACAGAAAAAAATTGAAACTTTTTAAAATGAGCAATAACTTCGTAGAAGTAATTTTCAGCACATGAACTAAATATAGCCGAATTCAAAGTTCAATTAGAACGTTACTGTGTATTTATATGGTGAGCAGTATTACTGGAAATGGCAAATTACATTGAGCCAGACACAGCTGGTAAAGTGAGTAATGGTTCTAGGCCAAAACGTTTCTAGGTCGTTAAGAAGTATTATAATCACTTCAAGCCATTCAATCAAAAGTCACAAGTCGAGAGTTCACTTTTAACCGAAATTGACTTCTAAACCACGTTTAAGGGTATGTTAACGTTAAAAATTTCCCTACAGTTTCAAAAATACCATGATGTTATAATTAGTTTGGGATGAGTATTTATGGATAGAATAGTTCTTCTTTTTAGTAAGGAAATTTATTTTCAGTTACTTGATACTCTAATCAGGGTGTCGACAATTGAAAGAAGAAGGATAAGCGACCTTTTGCGACAACCTTGCATTGTTAGAGTCTTTGGTCTCTGCTTTCTGTTGTTCAAAATCCTTGTCTATATCCTCGTATTGTCGTGGTGCTCTGTTCACTGTAAAAAAGACACAATATAATTGATAATTCTATCCTTTCTGTCAAGAATAATTCTAACTTTAATACAGTTTGGCAATATAATATTAAAATTTCAAGTCTGAACCACATGATGATAATTCTAACGTTTGAATTCATTGTTCGAAAATAAAAAAAAATCTCTTTGGATCACTTAGTATTATCTATAAATGCAAAAGTAACCTTGAAAGGCATTTTATTCCATTCACAGAGAGAGCCTTCGGTCTGTCATGAAGTTTTATGGCATCCCAGACAAACTGGTCAGAATGGTGAAACTGCTATATGAATCAGTCCAATGTACAGTTCTAGAAGAAACGAACCGATTCCTGGAAACAACAGGAGTGAAGCAGGGTTACATAATGTCTGGATTCCTATTTCTGTTGGTTATAGATTACGTAATGAATAGAGCTATAGAAACAGAGTCAACAGAATAAAGTGGAATTTCACAACAAAACTCGAAGATGTATAGACTTCGCAGATGATCTTGCTCTAAATTTAGGGACATCCAGCAAAAGACACAAAGACGTAATGAAATTGCTAGACAAGCTGGCCTCAGAATAAACATCAAGAAAACCAAAGTGATGAAGCTCAACACTGACATAAAAGAGGCAGTCAATATTGATGGGCAAGACCTGGAGGATGTAGAAACCTTTACTTACCTTGGAGGTGTGATAACAACAAAGGGAAGAGCTGATGAGGACATTACCAACAGACTGGGAAAAGCCAAGTCTCAATTTGGAAGGCTAAAAAAATCTGGAGCTCCTCAAAATTTTCCATCCAAACAAAAGTAAAGTTATTTAACAGCTTGGTCCTGTCAGTTCTAATGTATGGAAGTGAAACATGGAAAACAACAAAGAGAGGCAAAAGGTAAATTGACATCCTCCAGAACAGATGCCTTAGAAAGATCCTGAGAGTAAGATGGCTTGAGAAAATGTCAAATAAAGAACTCCATCATAGAACAAAGACGACTAGTGCAAGTGAAATAATTACCCTCAGGAAGTGGAATTGGATTGGCCGTGTAATGAGGATGGACAACACCAGGATATATACCACGGCACTGACATGGCATCCAGAAGGAAAGGGAAAAGTAGGCCCGCCAAAAACTATTCGAAAGACCACGGAGCAAGCGAGGCTATAGCTGGGATGGAATAGCTGGGCGTCAGCGAGGCCAAAGACAGAGGCAGGTGGAGGCAGAGTATTGGGGCCTTATGTGCCAGCGGGTACGAAGAGGAAAGGTGAGGTGAGATAACTGCAAATCGTTCCGTGGTAATTTTCAGTGGCGGACCTTTGTACAATTTGCTGGAAATTTTAACCTAAGAAACCTTTAAATTTTTGTGTGGTAATTCTTATTTTCATACTTTTCTTTCAGTAAATACTTTTTGATACCACTTCTAACATGAATCTTTTACTTTTGTGGCAATTCTAACCTTTGTACTTCGTTGAGGTTATGCTAATCTTTGTACTTTTCGGTGATTCTTATCATTCTTCTCTTTGGTGGTAATTTTTGTCCCTCACAGGGGACATTCAATCTCAGTCGTCTGTCAGTCTGTCTGTCTGTCACAAAACCTTTAACCTTGGTCATATCTTTTTTGAATGAGAAGAGATAGGACTTTCATATTATGTGTATTACCTGTGATATGTCCTTTCTAATTATACTATGAATTTTTTCTTTCCTTTCCAGTTTGGTGGTAATTTTGGTGGTTATTCTAACCTTTCCTTTTTGGTGGTAATTCTTACCTTTGTACTGTTCCTGTGCCCCTGGGTACCTTTGTACTTTTTGGTAATAATTTCGGTGGTAATTCTTACCTTTGTACTGTTCCTGTGCCCCTGGGTACCTTTGTACATTTTGGTAATAATATCGGTGGTAATTCTTACCTTTGTACTGTTCCTGTGCCCCTTTAATAATTTCGGTGGTAATTCTTACCTTTGTACTGTTCCTGTGCCCCTGGGTACCTTTGTACATTTTGGTAATAATTTTGGTGGTAATTCTTACCTTTGTACTGTTCCTGTGCCCCTGGGTACCTTTGTACTTTTTGGTAATAATTTCGGTGGTAATTCTTACCTTTGTACTGTTCCTGTGCCCCTGGGTACCTTTGTACTTTTTGGTAATAATTTCGGTGGTAATTCTTACCTTTGTACTGTTCCTGTGCCCCTGGGTACCTTTGAACTTTTTGGTAATAATTTCGGTGGTAATTCTTACCTTTGTACTGTTCCTGTGCCCCTGGGTCTGGTTTCTCGTCTTCATCCTCTGGATGACATTCTTCATACGTATGCTTCCTCCCCGCAACTACAACAAAACAATCATTATTTGACTTTTAGCTTAAGATGGCATTATATACAGTTGATTTTTGGATCCAACATGTCTGATTTGTGTGAGTAGCTATAAATCAATTGTAATGTTTTCTAAAAATCTGTAATGAGTTTTTTTTTATCCTAGTGGGTCTGACCCCCTGGTTGAAAACGAGTCAACATTTTAAAAGAGTCATTTGCTGGAATATTATCAGAATTCAAATAATATACATGCATTTCAATGTCTTCTGGACAGCATGTATATACAGCATCGTGCAAGATTTGTTTCTTCATTTGGCATATCTGTGTAGCGAGCAATGCCATCAATAACAGCGAGAGAAAAATATTTCAATTGCAATGTTCTTAAATAGACGTTTTGTTGAGAGGGTCGCCAAAAGATTAAACTTTTCTCACGACTTATACTGACATGTATTGTAGACTTATGATTATAGTATGTAACTTTGTTAAAATAGCAATCTGAGCGTAAAGTAGCAGCTAGACAAATCTTCAAAGACAAACCTGGGCAGTTTACAGGACAAAACAAGATGTGTTTGTAAAACACAATGCGCCCAGCGACAACAAATTTAAAAAATATATCTTTAGCATAAAGGTCACAGTGAAGGTCACAAGGTCATTGATCTTGGTCTCATTTGAAAGATCTTGATTAGTGAAGTATGCATACCAAATATGAAGTCTCTATCTTTCATGGTTCAAAAGTTATGGTGAAGGTTCAAAAAAGCTATTTTTAGCATATAAGACACAGTCAAGGTCACAAGGTCATTGACCTTGGTGTCGTGTGAAAGGGCTTTATTAGTGAAGTATGCCTGCACAATATTAAGTATCTTTCTTTGTTCATTCAAAAGTTATGGCGAAGGTTAAAGTTTGCCGTCGAAAAAGCTATATTTAGCGTATAGGCCACAGTCAAGGTCACAAGGTCATTGACCATGGTGTCTTTTAAAAGAGCTTATTAATTGTTGTAGGTATACCAAATATGAAGTCTCTATCTTTTATGGTTCAAAAGTTATGGCAAAGGTTAAAGTTTGCAATAAAACCTCTATTTTTAGCATATAGGTCACAGTTAAGGTCACAAGGTCATTGACCTTGGTGTCATTTGAAAGAGCTTTATTAGTGGAGTAGGCATACTAAATATAAAGTCTCTAACTTTCATGGTTCAAAAGTTATGGCGAAGGTTAAAGTTTGCAGACAAACAGACAGACAGACAGGACAAAAACAATATACGCCTCGGATCTTTCGATCCCGGCGCATAAAAAAAAACTGACATATTTCTTTCAATGAGGAAGTAGTATTGATATATAGTTATGACATTTTTTTCTGGAAATCAGAGATCAGACAAAAAGATTCGTATTTCCTGTTATACTGCCAGACGCAGATAGTACATGTATATATAGCTTTACTTATCTCAATGTTTGGAAGTCTACGTGGAAGTTAACAAATATTATTGAGATATAGTAAATAAGTGCATAATCGCAGACTGCAAACATTAAGAGGAAGTAGAGTAAGAATACATATAGAGAATTTTGTATCAGGCATTCAGACAGTGCTAATATTCGGAATTCGTCGCTGATCTGCAGATTCGCCATTCAAAGTTGGAGAGTTAGCTCAGACAGCTATACTAATATACCCAAGTATAGAGAGCTACCACAGGCACTTGTTTCGAAAATAAATTTTTGTCCCCCGCTTTCGCGAAAGCGAGGGGACATTAAATCTCATTCGTCTGTCTGTCAGTCTGTCTGTCTGTCCGTCACAAAAACTTTAACCTTGCCCATAACTTTTAATTGAGTGGACCTATGACTTTCATATTTTACAAGTGTATTCCTTGTGACAAGAACTTTCTTTGGGTACCACCAAATTTGACCTTTTGACCTTGACCTTGGAGTTTGACCCACTTTTACACAAAAATTTTATTTTTTTATTTTGGGCATAACTTTTGAACGGTAGATACTAGGACTTTCATATTTCACATATGTATTGTTTGTGGCAAGACCTTTCATTGGATATCAAGAACTTTGACCTTTTGACCTTGACCTTGGAGATTTCTGTACTTATGAAAAAACATTATTCTTGGCCATAACTTTAAAACGGTAAGGACTAGGGCTTTTATACTTCATATATATAATCCTTGAGAGAAGTCCTTTCATGGGATAACAAGAACTTAGACCTTCTGACCTTGGAGTTTGACCCACTTTTAAAAAAATTAACCTTGGCCATAACTTTTGTGAAGGGTTAGGGCTATACCTCAAATATTTAATCCTTGTTTTCATTTGATATCAAGCACATACACCCTTTGACCTTGATCTTGGAGTTTGACCTACTTTTTAAAAGATTTAACCTTGGCCATAACTTTTGAATGGTAAGGGCTAGGGCTTTCATACTTCACATAAGTAATCCTTGTGAGAAGACCTTTCACTGGATAACAAGAACTTCGATCCTTTTACCTTGACCTTGCAGTTTGACCTACTTTTGACAATTCGAGTACCAATATATTTAATTTACATTTTAAAAAAAGTTTAATCTTCGCTTTGTTGCCATACGGGGTCATCAATGTTTCACAAACACATTTTTTTCCTTTTAACTTTTGACTGAGAAGAGATTAGGGCTTTCATATTTGACATGTGCATTACCTATGACAAGATATTTCCAAGCATGCTATGATTTCTGACTCCTTGACCTTGGCCTTCACGATTGACTTTATTTTCCAAAAAAAATTCAACTTTGATAATTTCTTAATGACATATGATAGGGCGTTCATATTTGACATTTCACCTACAAAGACACCGAAAGCGGGGGACCACAATTCTTTGAATTTGCTTGTTAACATATAGGTTAAAAATTTATATTCGAAACAAGTGCCTGTGAGAGCTACTATTCGTTTTGGATTTTAAAAAAAAAAAATATCAGTTTAGAAAATAAAAATAGTTTCAGATATATTTTCTGACATATCCTCCAAATATGGAACTTAATGTGGATTATGCATGTTTAAACGTACTGTATTAATGCACTTATTTAAAACATGGAATTTATCCCTCTACTGGATTGGAATGTTACCTACCTGACCACCGGGGGTCTGGTTCATCTATAAGACAGGTAAAAAAAAAGCCATGGTTAGATTATTGTCACAAACCAGGAAGAGTACACGTGTTTCATACATTCATCAGATTTACATACAACCATAGAAATGCAGTTTGTATGCGTTAAAATGAGAAAGCAAAGCAATATTATTGTTAATGACTCTTTCACTAAAAAAAAGGATTCAATTTTTCATTCCATTACAATATTTTCTTAGATTGTGTGAGTTAGCTGTACACAAACAATCAAAGCTGTTATTTTTTTTTTGTATTAAAGACAGAAGCTTGTTTTTTTCCATACAAAATGGAGTGTTAACTTCCTCAATTATTGATTAAATTTACACAGGGAAATAACTGATTACAAAAATATTAAGAAAGTACAGTGCACTTAAAGCCTTTCTTGCTCTACTTTTTTTTTACAAGACCAACACACTCGACGAGTTATATATGCTACTTTGTAAAATAATAAGTCTTAGTTGGCGGAATATTTTGATAAAGAGAAAATTATATAAAATACACGCAGACAAGCAGGTGCTCTTTTGAATGTGTGGCAGCATGGTTACAACTCCTTACCCTCCTTCCCGTTAGCTGCTTCATTGTTAGTTGTTGGCTTTTTCTTCGACCCTGAAAGATCAAGAAATTTATTAATAAAAAATTACTACCACTATACTAACTCCAGTTTTATCTTTATTTGAGGAGAATAGTCCTTCAAAAGTGTTTAGGGATATCCCCCTTCATGGACTCAGTCCACATATACAGTATTACATATACGTAAGAATATTGTGTCAGTATTCCTTTTCAAATATGATAACCATTTTGGAGGTCATCCCAGGTATTGGTACCGCATAAACGTATTCTCTACGCAAAGTTACTTAAAAAGAACTTTATCGTTAAGATTGCCACAATTGTCAGAGAGAGAGAGAGAGAGAGAGAGAGAGTAATTAAATATCATAGTCTACTTGAATTTCAACAACGTGGTCAGAATGTTTGACCAATTTAATAGAAAATGACATTAACCATATAGTTTTAAATTACTGGTTAGCTTAAGGGCAAGTCTGGTCTTACTAAAAAGATAGAGTGTTTCAGTTAAAAACTTGAATTTTTGAAGGGTTTGCAAAGTTCAAACAGGCACTTTCTATACACATGCAAACAGGCCCTAACAATGATTTTACATGTAAAGTGTTTAATCTTGGTGTCAGGTTTGTAATCACGCTTCCGTGGCTTACAGCTGACTCACGTGTGAGTGTACATTTTTTTCAATTATTAATTTACAATTCAGTTCCATTTATCATTTATTATGAGTTGACTGCCTTTAATTAAGGCATCTACCATCCAAAGGAACACAATAGCAAATGAAAAATACATATGTGGAAATATATATATAAAAGCAAATTTTATACACACTATATATTTCCTTATTTCAAGAACACTTGCTTCATTTTATAAAAGCTCTGATAAACTTAAGTGTACATTTTCAGATAAATAGTGGGTACAATTGTCTTGTTATATATATAGATAATATACCCACCTTCCCCAAACCCTATAAAAGCTTTCAATTTAGTCCAAAATGTCATTTCTGTACCGTAACCACAAGGCTCGCATGAAAACTTATCCAGAAGTTAAACAACTATAAGATTATCGAAGTGAAAACAAGACAGCCGAGCAAATACATGTACCAGTCCTAACACAAAACAGGAAGTTTATCATTGAGGCAACAGAAGGGGTTATATATTTCATATATATGAAACATAAGTACAATGTTTTATTTGACTCATATTGTACGTACACATGTGCAAGTGAGATGTCTTACTGCTTAAAGGTAATAAGTGAAGAATTCTGACATAAAACAATGTCACGGCGATAAAATGTACATTAGTTTACCATAGTTTGTTCTACATAGTGCAGAAATATCATTGACACCTGGTGGAGAGTTCATTTTATAAATATATTCCATGTATATTGAGCGAGTTAGGGTTCATGACATGTGTGTACAGTATAAAGTTATACATACATAGTGAAAAAAAACACAAAACATGAGACATTGTACCTTTTCTAGAACCAAAGCATCCTTTAAAATTAGCACAACAAAACATTGTCACTCCGTCCTTCCATTAACTCTCAATTCCATTTCATTTTTTTTTCACGTTACGAAAATAAATATGTCAGAACATGACCTCAGGTAATCGGGTCAAAAGTAATTGATGACGGAACATTATTTTGCTGGATGCCTACATCCCCACGGCTAGGTACTAATAGCAAGGTTAAATTTGGAAAGAGAGAGAGAGAGAGAGAGAGAAAGAGAGAGAGAGAGAGAGGCGAATTTCTGATAAGAAAAACGTTACATCTAGTCTCGTTTCAAGTCATCATTTCCTAAGTTCTATAGATGATCGATACAATGACCTGTTCAACAAATAAACTCTATCATTAAGACAAACGCTGACTGACGTTTTGATACTTCTTGTTAGGCCATTATTTATTCACTGAATTGCCGACGGATTTTTCCGTTATTTCCCAATCATATGACAAGGAGCACACTGCGGGTGTGACCAGTCAGCAGGGCATGCTCACTCCTCCATGGCACCTGATCCCACGTCTGACGTGTTGGAGGTCCGTTTTTGCTCTGCTCCTATTTTGTATTGCTATATGTTTTCGTCCGTCGTCGTTCGTAAACTTTTTACGTTTTTAGCTTCTTCTCTGGAACCACTGAAAAAATTTCAACTTGATTTGGTATACAGCGTCTATGGGTAAAGGGGAACAAAAATTGTGAATTTCATGGTCCCTGCCCCCTGGGGCCTGAGGAGTGGGGACAAAACCACTAAAATTAATTCAATCTTTAAAAATCTTCTTTAATCCTGGACATCAAGCAGTCAAACTGTTGGCATGATTGTATTAAACAGCTTTGAGTCCTCTACCAAAATTGTGAAATTCATGGCCCCTGGGTCAGGGGTTCTGGTGTTAGGGTGGGGCTATGTAGATCATATAGTAAAAGTGCATTATTATTTTTTTTTTGAAAATCTTCTCCTTTGCTCCTGGGTATTAAACAAACTAGCCAAGTACATATAGTTATGATGATGAAGAGTGCCTCTTCGAAAATTTCATGGCCCCTGGGTAAGAGGTTCTATTGATTATATAGTTAAAATACATTAATTCTTTGAAAATATTCTCCTCTGCTCCTGGGTATTAAAAAACTAAGTACATAGTTATGATTAACAAGAGTGCATCTTCCAAAATTGTGAATTTTACGGCCCCAGGGTCAGGGGTTCTAGTGTTAGGGCGGGGCTCTATTGATTATATAGTGAAAATGCATTAATTCTTCAAAAATCTTCTTCTCTGCTCCTGGGTATTATAAACCGATGAACTATGTACATAGTTTTGATGAGGAAGGATGCCTCTTCCAAAATTGTGAATTCCATGGCCCCTGCATCAGGGGTTTTGGTGTAAGGAGGGGGCTCTTTTGATTATATAGTGAAAATACATTAATTCTTTAAAAATCTTCTTCTTTGCTCCTGGGTATTAAACAAACTAACCAAGTCCTTAGTTATGATGAGCAAGAGAGTTTCTTCCAAAATTGTGAAATTTGTGGCCCCTGGGTTGGGGGTTGTGGTGTTAGGGCGGGACTCTATTGATGATATAGTGAAAATAAACTGATTCTTCAAAAATCTTCTCGGCCCCTGGATATTAAACCAATGAACTACGTATGTACATAGTTATGATGAGGAAGGAAGCCTCTTCCAAAATTGTGAATTTCATGGCCCCTAGGTCGGGGTTCTGGTGTTAGGGCGGGGCTCTTTTGATTATATATGGTGAAAATGCATAAGTTCTTTGAAAATCTTTTCCATTGCTCTTGTGTATTATGCCAGTGATCTTAGTATATATATTATGATAAAAAAAGGTGCATCTAGCAAAATGTTTAATGTCATGTTCCCTGGGTTAAGGGTATCGCGGGAGGGGGGGGGGGGGTTATAGTACATAGTGTGAAGATAAATTAATGCTTCGAAATCTGCTCTGTGGTATTAATCAACAATTTATGATGAATTAAAATTCATGATAAAATTTCCAAAATTTTGAAATATATGGCCCCAGGGTCCGTGGTTCCTGTGGGGTGGGTGCACAACTGGTTATAAAGTTGAAATGCAAATGGGGTCTACAAATGTACTTAGTACTTGAACCTAATTACCTTCTCAGAGCCATTGGTTTAATTTAAAAAGGAGAGCTCTTATAGTGCTTCTAGAATATCATCGTTCAGCAGTCTTTTGAATGTCCTTATTTTTGTATAAAAAAAGGTAATGAACTTTTTCCTGTTTTGAAATAAAAAATACAACATGAATTCTTTCTTTTTTCTTTTTTTTTTCGCTTGTCCAAAATATACACCTTCTACAGATGTACTTTTTCATAACATCCAAAAGGTCATATCTCAGAACTTGAATTATTATTATTTTATAGTTCTGATCATGGACTAAGTATTTACATGTGTATGTTCAAATAATTGAAGCAGTACAAGCAAATATATAGCAACAACAAAACGTTTTGTAACTTTGTTATTTCCAAACTGGTACTTTGCTCTCTCTCTCTCTATAATTATTATTGTTTGCAGCGAACTGTAAAGTTTCACGTTACGTCACGATCTAGTTGACAGCTGCACTCAAGGTAATTTGTACACGCCTCCTAACCACAAGCTTTACGACTGGAACTTTGTTCTTATCCCTGATTGTTTGCTCATGCAACAGACTATTTTCGTGTCGATGTTGATAATTTGAGTTGACCAATCACATGAATTGTTTACGCTGGATGCACCTGACGAAAAAGATTGTGACGTAACGTGAAACTTTACAGTTAGCTGCAAACAATAATATATAAAATTTTGTATAAGCTGTAAATGATCCAAACAATACAATTCTAAAATATAAAGAATTTGTAATCTCTCTATGGTGTTCGAATTCTATCTTTACCTTTTCCAACCAATCAAACGTTATGGACCAAATTAAAGTTTTTGCGAGCAAACAGACGGACAAACGGACATAAAAATTTTATAAGGATGCTCTTAATTCACAAGTACGAGAAGAAAACGTGCATGTGTATTTGTACATATAATTGGAACTTCGTAATGCTTAGTTAAAATTCTATAGTTGCTACAGAGTGAGGCCTGGTGTTTCTTCATTTCAATGACTCATCCTGTAGAGGATTTCTGATTACCTCTGTTCATTTTTTTTTTAAATTATTAAGTTTTTTTTTCTTAAATGGGATTTTGGAAGTGCATGATCCAAAAATATTATCGATCTCATTCAGATATTTAATAATAATTCTTGGACATTAAAAATTGGCTCTTCTGTTCACTTTTTTACAATCGAACTAAACGGTTATCGCTTTTATATCCAACTCTCAGAGTGATTAAATTTTAAAAAACCTCCATAATAGACTTAATTTTTATATGTTATCCGATATTTGAGATGAAATAGATGGGTCTTTTTTATTACATTTTATTTCCTTTTTTATTTATAAAGCAATACTGTCTTACGGAAGTTGATAAAACTCATAAAGGTTTTTTTTTTATATAAACTTGATTTAAATATAAGTTAATTATCATGGGTACAACTACATAAAAATCTATACTATTGACAGATAGAAACCATCTACTGTAGATGGCCTTAATGATTGCTTATAAAATAAGTTCTAGCCTAGGTAAAGACGGACTTAGAATAATAAGCATTGGGTGGAATTGTTCTGTTTGTTTGGGATGATAAAATGGAATAAAACATCATTTTGTTACTCGTCCTATGTAAACTTAAGTGTACATATAAGGAAATTAATCCTTGGGAATACTTCATCAAGGCAGGAAATGATTGTATTTAATGATGGTGCAGACTGTGATACATATCATCCACACACGACTTTATATAATAATTTTAACATATTACTTTAACGCCAATGTAACACAAGCTTCATTTATACTGCGTGCATGTATACGTGCATTGTATACGTGCATAGTATAATTACCAAAATAACATTCGAAAAGTTTGGTAAAAACGTACCTGTCCCTCCCATTTTGATCCACAACTATATACAGCTGATGAAGTTCTCGACTCTGTAGATTTTCGTTGTAAAATGTTAACAGTTTTCAGGTGACGAAAATCAAAGACACCAACATCATATCGTAGAGTTCACAAATATGTAAATATATACCTTTAAGTTTGTATTTCAAATACCAGACAGTTCCTACAAGGAAAGGCCCGTATCTACACTCCTATCAGAACACATCCTTCCTCGACATGGCGCACAGACCGTGAGTAACACTATTACACTAATTACTCCGCCATATCAACCACGTGATCTCTTAACAATCTGTCACAGTATCCGTAGTACAAAGGACGTACACTAAAATAAAGAAAGTAAATCTGTAGATCATTCAAACAGGAAGTAAAAAATCCGTAATAAGTATTAATGAGACACATTAGAGAGTATACGGGCAAAGAGGAAGTAAAAAAGACCGGGCTGCCTGGGGAATCGTTTATTTCTTAAGATTATTTAAAGCGTGAATGACTTTATAGACTTTATATTGATAACAGGTATAATTGTAAGCTTTTTAAACTCCCGTACAGTCTAAAGGTTTCGTATTTTAACAAGACTCATATCATATATAACTTCTTTGGGCTTGTTATTTATAGGCCAGAGATTTGGCGAGGCTAATGACAAAGAGTACAAACTCGGTATAAACATCTTTTTCCTTCCGGTGTGTTTTTACTAATTTTACACTTAAGTGTCTTGAATAAGTCTTAAATTAATGGATGCCTCAGAAATGAAACCTCCTCCAAGGCGCCCCCCTCCTGCGGAATCAGAAGGTACGATATCGGGTCAGAGGGTGAGGGGCACAGGCACTTGTTTCGGAAATAAATTTTTAACCCATAGTATAAAAATAACATTATGGGTTAAAAATTTATTTCCGAAACAAGTGCATGTGGTGAGGGGTGACGGAGGTTGGTGAGATTTTAATTAGCACTCGATGTTTAACGATTCTGTACACTACTGTACAAATCCTCCACTGAGTGACACAGGGAAGATAAACCCTTTATTTACAGATTCCAGCCCGGACATCTCTCTCCTCTACGTGGGCGCCTTCCTCGTCTTGGCGGCGGTAGTCATGTTCGCAGTCCTCGTTGTTATATATGTCCGAACACTGAAGAGGAAAACAGGTGACTTCAAGAAGGCTTTTTAGTATTGTGAATTGAAACCGGTAGCGCTACAACATTATCAAAGACTTCTGATACCAAAGTTTTGTTGAAAATTATATACAGTTGTACAATGAATGCAATTTGGAATATTAGTGTAGTTTACGGACAAACGGATAGACAAACGACAAAAACCAAATACCAGTGCGTACATTTTCCTGTCTGAGACCTGTAAAACTCAAGTCTTAACAGTATAAATTGTCAAAAAGCTATACATATACATGTAGGTAGTAATACTAGCACTTCCATCAGGACTGGAATCAAACAAACAAAAACATTCACCAAAAGCAATAGTTCTTATCTACAGGACTTTGTTTGTTAGAAAGGGCAGAGGGCGGTCATTTTTATTTAAACAAGATGGCCAAGGTTAAAGTCTGGTATTGTTTTGTAAAAGCGGGTCAAATTCTAAGATCAAGAGGTCAAATTTGGTAACAGAAAGGTTTCGTCACAAGTACCTGGTATTACACCTGTGAAATATGAAAGCCATAATCCCATCCAGTCAAAAGTTGTGGGCAATGTTAACGTTTTTGCTGACAGCTATATATAGACAGACAGACAGACGGACGTACAGGGCATTAACTATATACCCCGAATCTTCGGTTACGGATCATAAAAAATATGCTAGTATATCAAGATTTTGTAAAGAAGCTTATGCGCGATATATTGTGACTGGTTGTAGACAGTAGGAAAAATAGCAAAGCAGGCACACCCCAGACAGCATGACTACGTTGGGCCAACGTTGGCTAAAGGTTGTACGGTTGGTCTTTAGTTGGCGTTGGGAAGACAATGTTGGGCCAACGTTGGACCAACGTTACCATGTGAATAACCTCTTTAGTACCCAACCATGTTGGGTTTCTTACGTTGGCCCAACGTTGGTCCAACATCAACTAATTTCGTTTCGTTATATTTTCTAATGAAGTTGGGGTTCAATGTTGGCCCACTGTTGGCCCAACGTTTGTAATGCAACCTTAACCAAACTGTCAACTTAATCTGGTTGCAGTATGTTGGCCCAACGTTGGCCCAATGTAAGCTTGAGTGTTTGTTTTTAGTGTTCTTTTATAGTTAGAATAAGTACATTGGGCCAACGTTGGGCCAACAGTTAGATTGCAAACTAAAGGATGATGTGCATGAGTTGGGAGCGTTACGTTGGCCCAATGTTGGCCCAGTGTTTGTTATACACTAGACTTTTATGAAAAGATCATTAATTTCTTCCATAGCACTGAGACTAAACTCACTATGGTTTATTGATGACAATTATACTTTCCTGTTATTAGTATCCACTTCTCAAAAAATCTTCTCTATATAGTGTCTGTTTATAAATTTTGAAATCTTAATTAACCTTAAACTTTGAGTGTAATTGTAATATTTGTTTCTCTCGTATACAATTAACGAAAAGTCATTATAAAAGGAGACTAAATAAAAGATTTTCTTACATTAGTTTACCCGGTAAAATATAAACGACCGAATAAAACTTAGCATAATATGGAAACTAAAAGTTCCCAGGGACAGGATGTGAATGACGCATAAATCAAGATAACCCAGCCAGCTTTATAATTGCATTCAAACAAAAGTTAGGCGAGTCGCTAAAACTGAAAGAGTCGCAGCAAATTTAAAACACCAAAATATGTGGAGAGCTGTCAAGATAATTACTCACAGCTGGCTGATAAACTCAAAATGCAGACTGAGGAAGTTACAGTAAGGTTAACGGGATTTTAAAAATTTGGTGCACACAACGGCTAACGGCGAAGTCCTAAAAGAAATGTAAGTAAAGTATTATTATATTTGAAAACTATAGCTACTTCTTTTATAAAATGATTCAGTTTATATGAAAGACATAATATCTTACACTGTATATCATGACGAGAAATGAAATAGATAAGAAAATTTCAGTATATATGGTAAGGTGTGTTTAATGGTAAATTCTTTTGTATTTAAACAGGGTTAAGTGCATCATAAGTTAATCAAAAAAATAAATATTTCATCAATTTTCAAATATAATTAATATATTCACTTTTCTTAACAGCTATATATTGTTCTTAGACGGGGAAATGTGCTGTGTCAGTGTGCATTAATTTGCAGCAGATATAGAAATTCATACTGGTTCATTGATGACAATGAAGAAGGAGGAAGAAAATGGGAAAAAAGTGAATATGTGAAAAACAATTGCAATCCGAACAAGACTAAAGAAGGACGTTTCAAATGCTCTTGGATTATACTATTTGTGTCTTTAAACAATATTTTACTGAAAAGAGGGATTGATAAAAATTGAAATTCAAATATTGCCAAGTTGTGTTCAACTTGTGAACTTTAAGCTCCTTTATATTCTATAGTTATGGGATTTTAGTAGTTTTTGTGAACAAAGGGATGGTTCTGGAATTGATGTTAGATGATGTTTGAAAGAAGATTGTGTTTGCAATTGAAATTTCAACTGCCTCATTATATTAAACGTTTTAGATTTGACGGTGTGCCTAATCCAGTCAGTCGTAGATGCAAGTGATGCAGAGGAAGTGTGGAGTATAATTCGACATTTTGAATACATTTTAAGGCAGAAACGTGAAAGCAAGACGTATTATTATTTATTCTTAAACTCTGTAAGCTTTGGCAAATGTTTTTGTTTAATTATTGTTATAATATTGAAGCAAACTTAACAGAATTTGTTAGAAACTAACAAATAAATTGTACAGTTTATCACTTTTTTCTTTTGCCTCATTGTCAAAATTATCTAGTTATTAATTTTTGTCAAGATGGCTTAATTTTGAATGGAAATCATTATTTATATAGGTTGGGTCTCTGTTGGCACTACGTTGAAAAAATAACTATCCGTAAAATAATAATTGACCATTGTTTGACCAACACAGGTACCGGACACTGGACCCCCATTGAGCAACCGATGGTATTTTGGTGAACGGACGTTGGGCCATTGTTGGGCCAACAAAAAAGTACGTTGGGCCAGTGTTGGGCCTTTGTTGATACAATCACTGCTGGTAATTGACGTTGGGCCATTGTTGGGCCAACGTTGACCAAATGCTGTAATAAAATAGGCTAACGTTGTGCCAACGTTGGGCCAACATGTTGGGCCAACGTAGGGCCGATGAGCAAACTTGCATCGGGCCAACGTTAGGTTGCCAACGTTGGACCAACGCAGTCAACAACTGTGCGCCAACGTTGGCCCAACATAGTCATGCCATCTGGGACGCCAGTAAATAGGAATCGACCAGCACAGAGTTATACAGACGAAGTAGGCAAAGTCTCCAGTCTATTTTCTTAAATTAAGAAAGTGTGCAATCTATTTCTTTCTATCAAACATTCACAAATTGTATTACTTTGACACGTCATTCTCTACATCGCTGAATCGATCTGTTGTTTTGCATAAGCGGTAGGCAGTCTAAAGCAACGTATATATTTAAAAGTTTTATGAATGACAAATTTTACGTAGAATCTTTGGCTTGAATAAAGATTTTTTGACATGTGTACAAAATGAAATAAATAAAGTGCCCTACATTGTATTAAATCACAAATATACAAACTTACTAGGCCCTGGTAGAGCTGTTAATTTTTTTATTTACTTGCAGATACAGGACCAGAAGAGGCACCCAGACACGCTAAGGACAGGTGAGTTACAGGATCAGAAGGGACACCGAGGCACGCCAAGGACAGGTGAGTTATTTACCTGTAGATATAGGATCACAAGAGGCACGGAGATACGCTAAGGACAGGTGAGTTATTTACCTGTAGATACAGGAGCAGAAGAGACACCAGGGCACGCTAAGGACAGGTGAGTTATTTACCTGTAGATGCAGGAGCAGAAGAGACACCAGGGCACGCTAAGGACAGGTGAGTTATTTACCTGTAGATACAGGAGCAGAGGAGACACCGGGGCATGCCAAGGACAGGTGAGTTATTTACCTGTATATACAGAACCAGAAGAGACACCGAGATACGCTAAGGACAGGTGAGTTATTTACCTGTAGATACAGAACCAGAAGAGACACCGAGATACGCTAAGGACAGGTGAGTTATTTACCTGTAGATACAGGACCAGAAGAGACACCGAGACACGCTAAGGACAGGTGAGTTATTTACCTGTAGATACAGGACCAGAAGAGACACCGAGATACGCTAAGGACAGGTGAGTTATTTACCTGTAGATACAGGAGCAGAGGAGACACCGGGGCATGCCAAGGACAGGTGAGTTATTTACCTGTATATACAGAACCAGAAGAGACACCGAGACACGCTAAGGACAGGTGAGTTATTTACCTGTAGATACAGGACCAGAAGAGACACCGGGGAATGCCAAGGACAGGTGAGTTATTTACCTGTAGATACAGGACCAGAGGAGACACCGGGGCATGCCAAGGACAGGTGAGTTATTTACCTGTATATACAGGACCAGAAGAGACACCGAGACACGCTAAGGACAGGTGAGTTATTTACCTGTAGATACAGGACCAGAGGAGACACCGGGGCATGCCAAGGACAGGTGAGTTATTTACCTGTATATACAGAACCAGAAGAGACACCGAGACACGCTAAGGACAGGTAAGTTATTTACCTGTATATACAGGAGCAGAAGAGACACCGGGGCACGCAAAGGTCAGGTGAGTTATTTACCTGTAGATAAGGGACAACAAGGACAGGAATAGATCAAAAAGGTTCATACTGGTACATAGAAGTGGTTAAAAGGATTAGGGAGAAATTGAATGGGCTATTACTTTAGATGTAGGGCCAAAAGACAATTGTAATATTGGGTATATTGTGTTGATTCAATGTGCTGATTTAGGACGACAATCTGGAATTGGGTTGGAATTTTCATAGAGAATATGCAATCTTGAGACATAAGAATTCTTATGTTATTTGATTAAAGATTTCTGGATACAGGGATACAGTCATATATTAGGTGATCTTTTATCTGATTTTACATGATGGTTATACATATGAATAGGCCATTTTAACATATAATATCCACTTTTTTTATGGAAATTAATTAACAATATTAATTTAGACTCCACAAGGCCTTTCTCTAAATAGGGTACCAATTTTGACCTTGACCTTTGGAGTTTGACATGCATTTGAGAAATTTTAATCCTCGACATACTAGTAAGCTGCCATACGGGGGCAGCAGTGTTTCATAAACACTTTTTTTTTAGTTTTACAGAGGAAAAAATATAGTTTGTTACACTGTTAGCTTTTAAACCCAATAAAGTCATGTTAATATTTGTAACCCATCATTTACAAAAAATGTTTTCAGTGTAGGAATATTTGCTGAAGACTTCGGTGTACACGATAATGGAATAATTCTAAATATACAAATGTAGTTATGTACCTCTAATTTTTCAGTGAGGACTATACAGAAATGAGCGGGAAAACATCGCCTAACCCTTACGCCAATATGAGTGGTAGACAATACACTGATCTTAGAGTCCTCGCCCCCCGGGATCACGCCTATACCCCCGTCCAGCCTCCCTACGTAGAAATCATCAGCTGATGTACCAAGTTATGCAATAAATATTATAGTACATGATTTCTGTATCATTCTCTTCTTTATACCGAAAAACCACACAATTCATCATACAACTTTGTTTTATACCATCGTTTCGTGGATTTTGATTGGCTTGTTACATTTGACGAAGAAAAAACGTGCGCGTTTAGCAATATTTTCACCTTGCCAATAGAAAATTTCGTAATCCCAATCATGATTATAGACTGATTGATAACTTCTTTGCTTCAGGCAATATGTCATCGGTCTATATCTGGAAAAACCGCTACTTTCCTACGCTTCAAAAGTCATCCACAAAGTCTTAAAACAATGAGCCTTATTAAAAATGCCATATTGACGCATATCATTAACATATCTTAAATGCATTTAATGAATATCTCTTAAATAAGCATAGACTATTCCAAAATTTACGAGAACAGAAGATTTAGTGTCGCTATAAGATGAATTGTAAAATTATTTTCAGTTTGTTATTTGTGCAATTTTTCCAGCTTTATACCAAGGGACAATCTACAGGTATCTAATGATTTATTGACAATTGATTTTTTTTTCTTTATAGGGGGCCTTTCCTTTATATTTCTCATAATTGTAAACTTTGAATTTTAATGTTTTTTTAAGTATATATTTTATATACATTTCAAAAATGTCCATTTTAGGTCATGGAGGTACGCGGTATGTGGTTATGTTTCCGGATGGGAATAGCCCGGTGACCAGGGCAGAACTTCTGATATCAACTCTACAGGACACGGAAGTGAGACTGACCTCCGGTTTTCCTGGTATTGATAGAGTGCTGCAGGTGAGAGCTAACGAGGGCGCTGTGGTCTCACTTCCTCCAGAAATAGTCCTGAATGGGAACAAGAGAGAGGATAAAGGAATCATTATTGAATCTGATTTCCCCATCTATGTGTATGGCCATTCTGGTGACGACTGTTGTGCGGGGGAGGGATTTCAGGCTATCCCTGTTGATTTCTGGGGTAAGGAGTACTATACTGCCACCCAGTACAACAGCACGGTAGCTGTGGTAGCAACGGAAGCCGACACGGAAGTGAGTGTCACAAAGGGATTCTGGGGTGGCGTCACTTTTGAATCAGTTTACTATGGAATGGGAGAAAACATTACATTCAATCTGACGGCGGGACAAACTGCGCAGCTGCAAACCCCCAGCGGTTACCTGCTTGGTACACGGGTGTACTCTAACAAACCTGTTGGGGTAATCTCGGGTCAGTACTACGCGTCTCCGTCCAGTAGGAGAGCCAAGTTTAACCAGATGATTGAATTTATCCCTCCATCCAGCAGCCTCGGCACCGATTTCATCACTCCTCCTGTGTTTAATTCTACCTACATCAACATATACTATAATAATCTGGGAGCCGACAACGTGATCTCGACAAAGGGCAAAAACGTCAATCTTTCCAGTAATTTACAAAGGCGAGGAGGTTCCCGGATCACGGCTGGTGCTGCCAACCCTTACCACGGCTCCAGCACTGAACCCGTCATTGTGACGGCCTCACCTCTTACCATTAGTCCCTTTATGTTGTTTATACCCTCTCTGGACCAATACTCAAACAATTATAAATTCCTCACCCCGACCAAAGCTAACCTGACCCATTATATTGTTATCATTGTCAAAAGTCAAGACGAGAATGGGATCAGACTGGACGGGAACAAGATTTACTCAAAAATAGAGGGCGTGGACGTTCTGCTCATCAATGACGTCATATACCTCATCATTTCAGCGGAAGTGAGTGCGGGACAGCACCAGGTGACACACCAGGATCCCAGTGTGAAGTTCGGTTTAATTTTGTACGGTTTTGATGACACTCAGTCCTATGCTTATCCTGCCGGACTTAGCCTGCCCTCCGCCTCGTCTCCGGCTGCTGGAATGCCTCTATAGAAAAGTCAGTCGGGGTCTGCCATCAAATAGGCCTAACTTCGTCAGTGCTGAATGGCACAAAACATTTTGTCGTCATCTGTACATACCTTCCGCCCCATTTCTGAAAAATTGTTACAACATAGATCAAAATAGTTTTTAGTTTTATATATCTATCATTTTTTATTTTCGTTGAAATTGTTCTAATGCCTTGTTCTGTATATTATGTGTCTACCAATTAAATATATTAAATTAAAAATTAACAGTTCTTATTGTTATTGATTATTTCCTTGTGTTGAGTTGTATCTAATTCTTTACAAAAGAGCATGCTCTACGTATAAGCACTTTCTAAAACGGCCGGGGTAAGTTACTTATTAACAAACAAGTTGATGGAACAAGATAGCAGCTCTTGTTTTTTTTTAAATCATTATTTGGTAAATTCTAGGTCGACTAAAGGCCATTATTTACACACTTTGTCAGTTTTCCCGGTCATGACAAGATACAATATTTCATTAAGTCAATTGATGATTTTTTTAAATGGCACCTTTTGATTAAACAAGAGTTTTATGAAGAAATCAAATCTATATCATTTGTTGCTTTATCTTGGACAATGAAATTAGAAACGTAAATATATTAGACTCTAAGTTTGTGAGGACCATTCGCTACAGTCATTACCTTTTTCATTTTGACTGCAAACGATTTTATCAATATTATAAGTTTATAATTTAATTTTATTTGTATTCTCGTCTCTCATTGGTTGATTTCCAAAAAGGAACGCATAACATTTTGTATAATCTGGTTTGGTATGCTCACACTCCTCTTAATCATCATATCCATGCAATCCCCTCATTTCCATTGATGATGTTTTAATAAAGTTTTTTAAACAATTACTCGCACCTTTTGATGAAACAATGAGTTTTATGAAGAAATCAAATCTATATCATTTGTAGCTTTAAATTTGAACTTGGACACAATTTTACATCAAAAGTTGTTTAATTATTTTAAAATATTAGACTACGTATATATATATATATATATAAGTTTGTGAGGACCATTCTCTACAGCCATTTCCTTTTACATTTTGACTGCAAACAATTTTATCAATAAGTTTATAAATGGTTGTTTGGTATTATATTTTACAGTTTGATTGTACTCATCAATATTTTATGTTTCAAATTGTTTCATGACTCTGTCATGAATTCATTGGTTCTTGACAATTATTTCATTTATACGGGATCACATGAAATAAATGTAGGTCGATTATATTCCGGAATTTAAAATTCCGCCGACAATGGGTTCGGCATTTTATCTATGTATAATTTCCGCTTTACCTGTGTAGTAAAAATTCAATGAATGTGTACAGGTAGATTTATTATAAAAGATATAAAATGAAGAGCACGATCGTCCTTCTGGGGCTTTTAGGATTAATATGTTCGTGTAAGTAACAATTTCTGTTAGTTTAGTTCTGAAAGCTTTGATAATCGTTAAATATGCTAGGTCTAAAAATTTATTTGGTCAATGGCGGAAGTGACTGACTCATAAAAACAAATTTTAAAAAACAAGTAAATATGAAAGAATATTTTATTTAGATTTTCTGAAAAAGGTGCCAGACTGACTTTTAAAAAGACACTTATTCTTTTCAAGAATTCTCTAAATTTAAACTATATTAATCAGATTTGTGTATAAATTATATTTTACGTAAGTTATTATTAAAATATTAAAGAAAAATATTTGAAACTTATGAAAAATATTTATTTGAATAAATATTTACAGTCACTTATGAAAAATGTATAAAAACCACCATTCAGTGTGAGAAAGAACAGGATGCCTGTAAAACACAAATACCAGAGATTTGCATCACATGAGTGCAGAATTACTTCAATAAGGCGAAATGAAAAAGTTTGTTTTCATACCTTGTAAAAGTGTTAAGTAAATAACTGACTGAATTATTACACCTATATCATTATATTAGTTGACCAAAATAATTGCTGTTTTTCTGTTGCAGGTTTTGCTTTGGAATGCTATGTATGTCTAGGGCAGAGGACAAATAAAGACAAATGTATAAAAACCACCATTCAGTGTGAGAAAGAACAGGATGCCTGCAAAACACAAATACGATGGCAGCGTAAGTGTAAATTAAAAAGGAAAAATTTGTTTTTTTAAATTCCAAGTATCTGGATCAGAGAAGAGATGTAATATTCACTTTCTTGGGCATATGGTATTTGGTATCTCATTCTATTGGCAAAAATAAACAGGTCATGAGTGCAGTTTGAATTCTACTTACATAAGGCATTTTAATCTAAAAAAGCTTGTTTTCATACCAAATAAAAGTGTAAAGTAAATAATTCACTGAATTATTACACCTACAGCATGTACAAAGTAAATATATTAGTTGACACAAAATTCAACAATTATCAGAAATTCAGTTCATGTATTTGTTAATTTGCATTGTAAAATTTCTATCCATAGTATAGAGTTTAATAATGGTTTTTTAAATCAGAGCCTAAGTTTTGGCAGAGAGTCAGTGAGAGGTATCATAACATCTCTAAATCTTGTGAGACAAAGGCTCGCTGTGACGCTGAGGCCCAGGCCAAGGGATTCCGATGTATGAGGGACTGGTATCGAGACTGGGACTGTGTCGAGTGTTGTCAAGGAGACAGATGTAATTACTATGCAACGGTATGTGTTGTCAGGGTGACCAGTAAGTGTTACTTTCTTTAATAACCTTTAATTCATTTAATTCAAGCTACCTAACTTGAATATAGTGACTTTAACTTTGTTTAAGTTTCAGCGATATTTGAGTCTCAGAGTTGTGAAAAGCATTTATATGGCATTAAAATCAAAATATATGGTGTCCAAATAAGACCTGGGCATTTGCAAAGGCTGAACAGTGCATTCAAAAAAACATGCTGTCATGCTAACACCCAACACACCATCGCACTAAAACACCACTGAGCCATCACGGTAGCACAAGTTTGCACAACACACCGTCGTGCTAACACACAGCTTGCCATCACACTATCACAACATGCTGTCACACAAATTAAAACAAGTTGGCACAAAACATGCTTATACACAACATAATGAACACATAGTTCTGTTAACACACAACTGGCTATCTTGCTTTCACAACATTGAACAACACTCTGTCACGCTAACACAAGATCGAAGAACATGCCATGGCTTTAACTCAAACATGTGTAAAGTTGTGTTTGTGAGTTGTGTGACAGCATGATAGTGTGTTGTGGAAGGTTATGTTAGCCTATTTCCCAAGCACTGTACCATCTTATGTTAGCCTAATTTAGCACAACAGTGATTTTTGTATAAGCACAATGATGGTTTTGTATAATTGTGTTAGCATGATGGGGTGTTTTATATTAGTGTGACATCGTGTTTCTTGAAAGAATGTCAGCGTGAAGGCAAGTTTAGCGAAATTGTATTTTAGCAACTTGGAGTTTTGTGAAGTTATGTGAGTGCAACTGTGTGTTGTTTGTAAGCATATTAAGGTGATGGTGTGTTGCATGATGATGGCATGATGGTGTGTTATTCAAAACATGCTGTTGAGCTTTTGAAAATAAATGAAGTCCTATCCAGACACCATAAAAATAATTTGTACATAATGTAATACATGTGTTTGATTTTGTTGTGATTTTGTTTTAGTTGGGAGGAAGTCACAATCAGCTGAGTTTTGTCCTGTTATCCATTGTCCTGATTTCCCAAGCACTGTACCATCTCTACAGGTAACCGTGGCAACAAAACCAAGTTACCCAGCATTCAATTTTACACAGCAACCCTAGAAGATGTGATAGACTCAACATTGACTTTTACTGCATTGTTATGACAACTACATTTCAACACAAAGAATTTCTTTTTCGTTTTTTAATAGTTTGATAAAAAAAAAAAATTGGAATGGCAAGCAATGAAGCATTTCTGATGTATTTTAACAGTTTGATAAAAATAATTTGATCTTTCAGAACGAGTAGCTTTTATTACAGAATTTACATCTTTTCATCATTATTACAAACATCTCTAGTGGTTTTTTTCTGAATGGTCTTTTTTGATTACCTTCACTAATAATCAGGCTGAATTTTAAACTAGCAGAATATATACAAAGCTTATATTCCTATTTGAGAAAAAAAAACTGTTTTGTCAAGGAGCAAGGATGAATGTGCCATTGTGATTTGTGATATAAATCATGAATTAGGTATGAGAGTGTAGATAAGTATTATGTGTATATCACTCTGAGGATTTGAACATGTAATCTATATGCAATATCATTATGAACATTTCATTTGTACATTACATCATCTTTAATTGTATATATTTTAATCATTGATTCCATCTGTCCATTCCATGATTATTCTAACATATTGTATAATTGTTAAGGGAGTGAGAGTGTAGAATATGTATCAGGTTAGATAACTCATGACTTTTTAGAATCATCATTAATGTATATATGATACATGATTTTTTACTTTTATGATACATATGTACATGCATTATATTTTATAATAAATTTTATTCAGACAATGCATTTTGATTTTTTTTTTAATAAAGCAAAGAACCAATTTTGGAAGGTTTTTTTCCCTTCAATTTGATCCTCTTTTTGCCTCTTTAGGAGCTTTTTGAAATTTAGTGTACCCTACTTTTGTGAATCATGTACTCTGTAGCCATTTTCAGAATATTTCGATCTCCTTTAAAATAAGAGCTCCATATAAAGATATACAAAAATGATCAAATTTTAAAAAAAATGTATTTTTTTCTTTGCCAAAATACATAATGTGTGAATTTGTGATTATGTACTTAAATGAAATATGGTGAAAAGAATATTATTCAAGCTCAAAGTCAATTTCAATGACAAAAAAAAAGAAGCAGAGCAAACATGAAACTCCAAAAACATCAGAGGTGGGATCAGGTGCCATGGAGGAGTGAACATCCCATGCTGACTGGAATCCTAGCAAGCCAGGGTCCTGCATCAACACATCCAACAGCAATGTTTTGACTAAGGATCTCTGGCTTGCGAGGATGGCTGACCAGTACCGTGTATGTCACATCTGCAGTGTGCTCCTTGTCATTTGCTAAAAGGACTATGAAACATGCTTTCAGTTTCTGCTGTTAAGATGTTAATGGTAAAAAGAAGTTCGAGGTTCATGGCACCTTGGCCAATACTATGGTCCAGCTATTCTTCAACAGCAGATTATTTTTCTGTATCCTCTTTTGTAAGAAAGTTCTCACCCTAATCTGAGGGTCATGGTTTCAACAAAATTGAATATACCCCACTACATTACTATTACTAATCACAGCTTTTCTATTAAAAAGAAAATCGATTTTTTCTTACATATTCCTTTGTAAACTTCGAACTTTAAATCTTCCTGGCTACGTGGTTTTGAGAAGATTTGAAAAGATTTTCCCCATTCCCATCATATTTACGAATTTGTTAAGAAACTAAAATACCAAGTGGGCAAGAGCTAAGATATTCCTATATTTCTGTCCATTCAATCTGTCATTTTTGGTCGTCAAAATCCTTGAAAATCTTGAAACAGTTTTAGCAAAATTATATTATACATACTTGATTTTGCTAAAATTGTTTCAAGAGCCTTGAAATATTACACCAAAAAACATCAACAGACTTAAGATTGATGCTCTACCTTCCATTTACAATCTCAAAGGTATTACATAGAAAGAAAAATATTAGTTTAAATGTGGAAAAACAAATTTGAAGAATTAGATATGTTTATTTCCATAAAAATCATTAAAAAACTTTATGGATACCTGATATGGCAGTGCTCTTTTGGACCACAGGAGTCTGAAGTTTTTATCATCCAAAAAAAAAAAAAAAAAAAAAAAAAAAAAAAATCCGGAAAAAAATTCCCCACCCTCAACTAAAAAAACACACAGACTCCTGTGGTTTGACAAAAATGAAAACGCAGGGTTGGAATTTGAATGGTCATTTATTAATGAATAAATGACAGAGCAAACAAAATATGTCAGCACATAGTATAATTGACAATAAACAAAACTTTTTGTTTTTAATTTAATTTGCTAGTAGTGCTGGCTGTAAGCAGTTTACTGTCGTATAAAGAATTCCATATTTTGAAAGCTTGTTATCTGTTTACATTTGAACCCAAAATTTTGAATCTATCCTTTAGCATTTGTTGAAGAATTTGGCGAGGTTGCATGATCCTTATCATTACGATGAACCTGTAACTTGTACTGTTTTAGTAATGTGAACCTGTAATTTTTACTGTTTTAGCATCATAGTGAATCTGTAACTTGGACTGATCTAGCATTTTTAGTGAAACTGTAACTTGTACTGATCTAGTATTTTGATGAACCCTGTAACTTGTACTGTTCTAGAATTATAGTGAATCTATAACTTGTGCTAATCTAGCACTATAGTGAACCTGTAACGTGTACTGTTCTAGCATAATAGTGAACCTGTAACGTGTACTTTTCTAGCATTATAGTGAACCTGTAACGTGTACTGTTCTAGCATTATAGTGAACCTGTAACGTGTACCGTTCTAGCATAATAGTGAACCTGTAACCTGTACTGTTCTAGTATTTTGATGAATCTTTAACTTGTACTGTTTTAGAATTATAGTGAATCTGTAACTTGTACCAATCTAGCACTATAATGAACCTGTAACTTGTACTGTTTTAGCTATAAGAACCTGTAACTTGTACTGTTTTAGTAATGTGAACCTGTAACTTGTACTGCTCTAGCATAATAGTGAACCTGTAACGTGTACTGTTCTAGCATTATAGTGAATCTGTAACTTGTACTGTTCTAGCATTATTGTGAATCTGTAACCTGTGATGATCTCGCATTATGGTGAACCTGTAACTAGTAGTGTTTAAGTATTATCACGAGCTTGTAACTTGTACTGATCTAGTTCTATAGTGAATATGTAACTTGTACTGTTTTCTGTTTATACTTTGGTGAACATGTAACCTGTTCTTTTTAAGTATTAAGGTGTACCTGTAACTAGCATTGTTATAGTATTATGGTGAACCTGTAACTTGTACTGTTTAAGTTAGGTGAACCTGTAACTTGTACTCAAGTAGCATTATCATGAACAGCCACATAGTATCGTTTTTGAAAGTACGGGGCCAGCCAGAGAATTTTTTTTATTTACTTACCTGAAAAAGTTGACAAGCAAAAAAAAAAAAAAAGGAAAAAAGAAAAGTTGCCCAAAGTCGATAATCCTATTTCGTGGGAGGTGGATGGTGTGTGTGTGTGTGAAGGCCAACTTTTTTTCAATGCCAACTACTTTCAGTACCAATTATTATACTACATTTTCCATACATCACTAATAGTTGGGGGAGGGGGGCAACCAGCCTTTCAATGAACATTTCGTATAGTACATGTATAAGTAAGGTTGGGGAAAAAGGGGGGCAGCCCCCCCCCCTCCCCGTTGCTACGTGCCTGTTGAACCTGAAACTTGTACTGTGTTAGTATTATAATTAATGCAACTTGTACTCTTCATGTATTATCACTAACTTGTAACTTGTACTCTTTTAGTATTATGGTGAACCAGTGTAACCTGTACTTTCAAATTATATAATGAACCTGTAACTTGAACTGTGTAAGCATTATCACGAACTTGTACTCCTTTTTATTATGGTGAACCTGTAACTTGTACTTTTCTAGTTATAAAGTTAATCTGTAACTTGTACTGTTCTAGTATTAAAGTGAACCTTTAACCTGTACTGTTATAGTAAGGTAAACCGTTAAGTCACAGGGCCGTAGGAAGCAATGGCATTTTGGGTGGGGGGGGGGGGGGCGGGGAACCGTGCCAGCCATACATACCAAAAATTTCTTGACAAGCAAAAAAAAGTCATCAGACTTTTTTTATTGAGCGGACATAAGCATATTATAGCTATGTTTTCCAGTATTCTATATATCGGCAAAATTATTGAGGGCGGTTCCTACGGGTCCTTTTAAATAAGAATCACCACAGATTTATTTATTGCTCTTTCACCAAGAAGATTGGTTAAATTAAACAACATTTATTTTATTCAAAATTTCAGGAAACAGACCAACATATTTCGCAGACATTGCAAATTTGAAATCTGATTTCAACTGCCACTTTCTAAATTAATGCTTGTAATTGCGTGATTCTGCCACCTTCCCCTCCACGAAACCACTATTGTACAAGAACACGCAAGCTCAAAGGCGCGCGATATAGTTCTTTTGCATTCATTTATATAATTTCAGCATAAGAATTTAAATGCAAGCTCTTGACCACTGCCTAAAATTATAAATCTCGGACATTTGGCTAGAAGCATTATTTATTAACATGCTATCCAAAATGATAAATTCAAGACGATGTCAGGGAACAGTATGCAAACTCTTCGATTAATGTTAAGATTTAAAATTGCAAACTTGTAGTTGTATACATGTAGTAAATAATGAGGACAAGTGTTTTAAAATGTTATCATAACATGAAAGACTGGACTGTTTATACACTTAAAGATGTCTTCTAACTAATACAATTCATTTCAGATATTTTTTGTCTTATGATAAATACGGGAAGGTCATATTTTAAAAACAAAGTTGAAGTTATATTTTTTGCAGATACACTGTATATAGTTTTTAGTGTCTACAATTTAGCTTAAAAATGCATTTATGACATAGCTTTGTCCAACTCCTCAGTAAAAACATACTCAGGACCTAGAAGTGTGTAGGCATAAGCAAACCCACTGTCAATCTGAAAATAAGAATTATATTTTAAAACTGATAAAACTAACAAAACACAATCCCTCAATCAAAGAAATCCCTGTGGGTGAAGTATGCACGAAACTTGACCAAATCGGAAATAAATATACTCCAAACAAGTACTATTATACATGTAAATGGATAGATACAAGTGATATATTTTGGGATCATTATGCAAAACTCAAAGAATTTGATACAACAGTGTCACATGAGGTGTCATGTATCATTGTATGAGCCCGATATGTAGCTCTCCCCTGTTAAAAAATAATTTAGTTTACAATAGGCTAAGAATCCATGTAATCTTGAGGAATTTGATCGTCTTTTTTAAGTACATCTAAATGAAAAATATTCAATGCTGCGCAGAATTTTCCGGTTGCATAGAGACGCAACAATTATTTTCCATTAAATGTTGACATTCCCGTCTTCATACATAGGAGACAGTATATAAATATTGCATGTAGTTGAGTGTAACATTGAATATTTTCACCCCAAGAAAACCATTGTCAACCGAGACGCAGCCGAGGTTGACAATGGTTTTCGAGGGTGAAAGACAATGGTTTCAAGGGGTGAAAATTTTCAATGTTACACTCAACTACATGCAATATTTATTATATTTATACTGAATGTTTTATACAAATACATGTAACAGTGAACCGTGCGCGCATAAATTCTGCGCAATCGCTATTTTTTGGAATATCACCCGTCGTCAAGCACTGTTGCCTGTTGCTACGCTGGAGGGCGTGGCTTCATTAATCAGCGGGTAATAGTGTTTTTTAACAAATGTTTCTCGACTAATCAGATTCAACTAAGTTACATGAAAGTGTAATATATGTAAATACTGCAGAAAGGAACTGGGAAAGACAAATGCATATTTTTGATTGATTGTATTATCAAAAAGTATCAAGGTTTTTCTTTGGTGCGTCTTTTCGTTTGGATCTGATTTTCATAACAACAATGAACAGCCGATAGAAAAGCAGAATCAACATCAACACATTTTTACACGTGAAGAAGAGTATTCCAAAACTCAGCACCTTGTGTACAGTAATAGCGTATATCCGGAGAGCGAAATACGGACCATCCATAAAAGTAATCGATATGAGCAGGCCCCACAATTCAGCCCCAAAATTCTTGTGTTCGCTCTCCTTTTCGTCGACCATGGTTCCTAAGCGGAACCGTTTAGGTCCCTTGGCAACCGCAATCACGAAGATAAACTGTAACAGACTTATACTCCAGATGATGAGTGTGGCGTATTTCAGTCCTTTGTTTGTGTAGAAGACAGGATCTTCGAACACGACGAAGAATTCCATGACGTCAGATCCGGAACCAATGAAGATGAAGAGTGTTTGCGATAATTCATCACGTGATAAATGTCCACGTGGCAGCAGCATCCGTCCAATAACAAGGACAAACAAAAGCAGCTGTTGTAAAATGGAGGCCCACGTCTCGGCATCAAGTGCTATTGGGACTAACTTTACCTATAACAGGAAATAACATTTTACATATGTTTATCCTATAGATGTAAAATATATTTGTTGTCCCCCGCTTTCGCGAAAGCGAGGGGACATTAAATCTCATTCGTCTGTCCGTCAGTCTGTCCGTCTGTCAGTCTGTCCGTCACAAAAACATTAACCTTGCCCATAACTTTTGATTTAGTAGAGCTATGACTTTCATATTTCACATGTGTATTCCTTGTGACAAGACCTTTCTTTGGGTACCACCAAATTTGACCTTTCGACCTTGACCTTGGAGTTTGACCCACTTTTACACAGAAATTTTAAACTTTTACTTTGGCCATAACTTTGGAATGGAAGGTACTAGGATTTTTATTTTTCACAAATGTATTGTTTGTGGCAAGACCTTTCATTGGATACCAACAACCTTGAGCTTTTGACCTTGACCTTGGAGATTTACGTACTTATGGAAAAACGGTAAACTTGACCATAAGTTTTGAACGGTGAAGACTAAGGCTTTCGTAGTTCACATATGTAATCCTTGTGAGAAGACCTTTTATTAGATACCAAGAAGTTTCACCCTTTGACCTTGACCTTGGAGTTTGACCCACTTTTACACAGAAATTTCAAACTTTTACTTTGGCCATAACTTTGGAATGGAAGGTACTAGGATTTTCATTTTTCACAACTATATTGTTTGTGGCAAGATATTTCATTGGATACCAACAACCTTGAGCTTTTGACCTTGACCTTGGAGATTTACGTACTTATGAAAAAACGTTAAACTTGACCATAAGTTTTGAACGGTGAAGACTAAGGCTTTCATAGTTCACATATGTAATCCTTGTGAGAAGACCTTTCATTGGATACCAACAACTTTTACGCTTTGACCTTGACCTTGGAGTTTTAACTACTTTAAAAAAACTTTAACTTTGGTCACAACTTTTGAACGGTAGAGACTAGGGCTTTTATATTTCACATATGTATTCTTTGTGGCAAGTCCTTTCATTGGATATCAACAACTTTGACCTTTTGACCTTGACCTTAAAGATTTACGTACTTATGTAAAAGATTTAACCTTGACCACAACTTTTGAACGGTAAGGGCTAGGGGTTTTCATACTTCACATATGTAATCTTTGTGAGAAAACCTTTCATCAACAACTTTGACCCTTTGATCTTGACCTTGGAGTTGACCTACTTTTAAAAAACGTTAACTTTGGCCATAACTTTTTAACGGTCAGCATAAGGGTTTTCATCCTTCAAAAAAATCAACTTCAATGATAATTTCTATGAAATGACATAATTATGATAGGATGTTCATATTAGACAAAATATGTCATAAAAAATAACATCTCACCAACAAAGACTCCGAAAGCGGGGGACCACAATTCTTTGAATTTGCTTGTTTAAAACATAACTTAATTGTTAGTGAACAACAAGGAATGTTGGAAAGATTTTGTGAATAGTAAATTCTTTAATCTGAATACAGGTATTTCTTAGAAGGATAAATTTCAAAGGGTCCTAGGTCACACCTTTATTGCTCCAAATTAAACCATAATCTCTACATGAACAATAAATTGTTATTGGGTGCTTTGTAACCGTTTTAGTCTTCTTGTAAACAATCACATACCCCGTAGAATGTAGAGAGTTCCTCTGATGAAGAATTAGTTGTAATGTTCACATTAAACTTTCTCTCTAGTACATCCAACTGGAGAAACCATATAGCAGGCACAGTTCCAAGTAAATAAAGGACGAAACAAGGACAGATCCTGAAAAAAAATCAATGATACTTAAAAATAAGAAATATTTCAATTAATGGACCAATATCAGAGAGAGAGAGAGACTGAGTACCATTTTGGATCCCTTCCTTTTCGGAAGATACACGTGTACAGAGCCTCGATGACGAGCAGGACGTTGGTCAAGGCTAGTAGCCAGTAGAGGTCGTCATTTTTGACGTCTGCTGTTCTCCAAACGCACAGGCAGCTGTGGATGAAAAGAAGGACTCGAACTAACAACGCCTGTATGACGTCATGACTGACATGCACTTTCTCGTGGACGCTCTCACTTAGGGATTTTAACGACAATGTCGACATTCTGTTTTTATCGGGCTTGCTAACCGGCTTCTTCCTTTTTCGTACATTTTCCTTGGAATTTGGCCATTCGTCGAATTTTTCTATACTGTCCATGGAATTGGAAACATTCGGAGTGTTTTGCATCTCTATGTCTCGTTCGCTCTGTCTTTTATGAATTTTAGAAACCTCGGGTGAAACTTGCATATCTGAGCTCGATTTGTCTTTACTTTTATATCTATCACTCGTAGGCGATCTTTCTTTCAAAGTGTGTTTGTCTTGATTTTCAGGTGCATCTCCAGTAATGGTTTCTTTTTCACACTCACCTTTTCTTCGATTATCGAGCTTCGGTGTTTCTACTTTAGAATCTTCAGCAGAACTACACGACACAGATCTGTTTTCCTCTTTCTTTGTATGCGCCTTTTCTGGTGCAGGTACGGTACACTTAATTTGTTCCTCTGCGGGACCTGATGAAATCTTACTTGAGTCCATTTTATCTTCCAATATGTCACTTTTAAGATAGATAAGTCTTTTCCAATTCCAATATTGGGCCCTTTACTAAGACCTTTGTAAATAGCCACAATCATAAATCTAAAATGTAGATAGTCCGAAAAGTTTGTTAATATTCGTTTAACAAATGTTGGAGCAATTTAGCACAGATGAAAGCCGAATTCAACACGCAATGTTGAAAGAAAAGAACTTGTGTAGTTTTGTGTCACTGTATAAAGACATCGCTTCAGTGAAGATATAGAACGCTTTAAACTTAAATATTTTACTGAAAACCTGTTTAATACCCCGATTTCTTTGATAACAATTTTTTAACAATTTTGTGAAATCCAAAACTTCCCTTTTACTTCTTTATGTAAATGCATAAATATCCACGGCTTTATCTGTAGAACTGACTTCAGTATCCCATGTGACTGTCATTCAGACATGAAGAATGGCGAATAAAAAAGTTCTTCAAAAGAAGTTTTAGTAGAATCAGACTCTATTAATCCTCTTCAGCTCTTTCGATGAAAAAAATTATACACCTTATGGTTAAAAACTCTAGAAATATATACTCCATCTAAATGTTTTTATCTCAGTGATAGCAATGAGAATATTCAATATTGAAAAAAAAGATGTAGATATTTTATTTCCATAAAAAATCAGTAATGAAAGGCAATGAAATCGCTGTTATTTAAAAAGTGGAGATGTTTGGAATTTTTTAAGGATCTTAATTTAAATTAAATTTTGAGAATGCTTGAATTAAATATAATAATAATTTGACTTTATATCTAAAGCCTGGTGACTCATATACTGCATAAAAATTCCTAGGAATCAGGAATCTTACGACTGCTGTGCACGTGGAGGGATCTTATCTTTAAAAATAAAAAAAAAACATGATCATACATGATTCACTAAAATGTCCAAATCCTCTCTCAATAAGGTGATTCTTAAAAAATGTATACCGTTTTCTATTTGAATCTAATGCTATAGATGAAATGATATAAACCAATGATGGTCTTGAGCCTGAATACTGTTCTATATTTCCATATATTTCATAAAAAAAAGAACTCGATATGCAAAGGATTAACGGAATAATAAGTAATGCCCTGACCATCTGCTCTTATCTTCACAAAAAATTCAACTGAAATAGTTTTACTTCTCATCTCAAATGAACTCGGAGTAGTTACTAAACATATCGAACGTTAAAGAAATCTGATTTTGAATGAACAGTATAACTGTGTTTGCACGACATTTAAAAATGAATATATATCATCATTTTTCTTTCGTAAATGAGAAAGGAACTGCCTGAGAAAAAAAAAACAATTGCCGTCGTGGACAGGATTCGAACCTGTGCGGGCATAGCCCATTTGATTTCGAGTCAAACGCCTTAACCACTCGGCCACCACGACCTTGGCATATTAACCATTAGATGATTGTCATATTTCTTGACTATAGAAATTGTTAAAAATTTATTACTAGTATTAATTTTTTTCATAGACCTTAAACTTAGATCGAATTAATTTAGATATTACTGTCAAATGTTTAATACGCCAGTACACCAAATCAGGGCACAAAATGGCATAAATATATAAGAGATATCGATACTTAGTATAGTAACACAACAGAAAATATTTAATTTAGACCAAATGTAGAGTAGATCTAATTTTATATTCATTCGAGTTAGTACTTTGATGATATTTCTTAGTATTGTGTGTAGACATATGTTGCTGTTATTATTCAGATACCTTACATTTATACGAGTTGTGTTTCTTTGTACATAAAGCCTCTGCTGAAAGGTGGCGGATCTAACTATGCAAGCAACAATGTAGAATGTTTTTTAAAGATTTTACATGACCTTTCTCCTAGATGTCTGTCAGACTTAGTGAGTTTTAAGAAAGTGACATACAATTTTAGATATTCAAACATTTTAGAAATACCAAAAGTGAGAACTACATCATATGGCAAAATGTCTTTTAGATATGCAGCACCAGTTTTATGGAACTACTTACCTGAACATTTTAAATGTCAAACCAATTTTTTACAGTTTAAATCTATGATTGCCTCTTGGAGCGGTAAGGACTGTGAGTGTACAGCCTGCCCCACTAGGTAAGTTGTGTCCTTTTGTTTGTGTGTCTGTGCATGTGTGTAAGTTTTTCTTTTCTTATTTTTTCCTGTGATGTTCTTTTTATGTTTCTGTCGATGTACTGTTTTGTTTGTAATGTTGTGACTTGTATACCTTGTTGCTTTCTCTATGCATCTGTGCTGTATTGTTTATGTGTCTGTACATGTGTGTTTTATATGTATCTTTGCCTGATGATGTCCTTTAAATTAGACTGTGTGCTGTATTGTTGCAAGTAATTCTATGTTTATATAGTGCTGCATGTTTTCATTGTTTTACTGTTATGTATATGTTAAACATGTCAGTCAAAAGCTCATTAGAGCTTGTGTTATTTTTAACTACCATACTGACTTTAAATAAAGCTTATCTTATCTTAGCTTATCTTATCTTATCTTATGTAGGCTACCTTTTCATATATTTTCTTTAATATATCTATACTTCATGCGCGGATCTAGAGGGGGGGTCAGCCCCCCCCCGGAATTTCCAAGGTTATTAAATTTATATACAAAAGCAAGAAAAAAGTTAACTTGGACCCCCCTCGGAAAACGCAGACCCCCCCCCCCCCCGGTAAACGTGAACTTGTATTAAAGTGGTATAAAAAGTTAAAGATTTGAAGCATTAAAAGTCATCGCCTAACCCCCCCCCCTCCCCCACCACCACAAAATAGGATTTTGAAGTTTTGGCGAGTTTACTTTTTTTTTTTTGCTTGTCAAAAAATTTCTGGGTTGAAATTTTTTTTTTTTTTGAGACTTGGGTGGACCCCCCTGGGAAAAATTTCTGGATCCGCGCCTGTACTTTAATATTTGTACACTATGTAAAGATCTTACAGTAGTAGTCAACTGTTTGACTTCTGATATTCTTCATTCAAAGAAAAAAAGTTACAATCAAGCCGTGATTCAATGAATCCTACATTCAATGATTTACAATTCATTTACAGAATATACAGAAAATGCGAATAAACCTATGCATGCTGTAAAATATGATTTTTCTCATTAATTCTAGCAATTTAAGCGATAGAATTTATCACATTTGTGAAAACAAATTAAAAAATTCGGTAATTGATATTGTGACTAGATACAGTTTAGCTGCAGATCTGTAGCGTTATGGTTTTATATTTGTCTCTGACCATAATTACTGTATGGCCAAAGACAAATATACAAAAACCTCAAACATGTATCAGAAGAGTAAATATACGAATCTTTTATTAATATTATTGAACATTGGGGCGGGGGGGGGGGGGTAGGAAGGGACACAGACCCTCCCACTTTTTCAGTTGTAAATAAAGACATAATATTAACATTGGAAATAGCTAGGGGCTTAGTCCCGAATCGCTTTCTTTTTTGTTGGATTAGCCATCATTCCTCCCCCAACTTCAAACATTCAATTGCCCCCCTCCCCTCCCGCACCCACCCACCTACAGTCAAATTATTTCCGAAACAAGTGCCTGTGGTATCAATTCAGGCATCAAATTTTTGTTTATGTGAGGTGAAAATAATATAAGGATTCGTTTCCGAACCCCAGACATAAATTTATCTGAATGAAAACTACCCGATATCCCTTATAAATTGTGATTTCTACGTGTAATATCATCTCTAGTTGCAGACCCAAGGCTGTAGAAGGATATGGAGATGGCGAACAGCATTCAATCTCAAAGTCCATAAAACAATACAAAATATAAGCAGAGCAAAAACAGACCTCCCAAACGTCAGAAAGGTGGGATCAGGTGCCATGGAGGAGTGAGCATCCCCTGCTGACCTGTCACACCCGCCACGTGCTCCTTGTTCATGCTCGGGAAATAACGGAAAAATCTGTCGTCAACGTCAGTCAGCATTTGACTCAATGATAAAATATTGCATTTGCTGAACAAGGTCATTGTATCGACCATAGTAGCTACAGAACTGTAGCTCTCCGAAAAAAATATTTCTATAGACCGGTCTGTCAAAATATATTTTCGGAGAGCTACAGTTCTGCAGCTATGACCATAGAACTTACGAAATGATGACTTTAAACGAGACTGTTGATATTCTTGTTTCATCAACTTGCTTGTCAATAATTAAAATAAATTTACCTCGTTTTAGAAATTGTTCATACGTAGAGCATGCTCTTACGTATCGAATCAACTGAGATACTCTGTATGCAGGTGATGAAGGTAATTGCTGCATACGTAAAAGAAGTTGACGATAGAAAAGTTAAAGTCATCACATTTATCATATAGCTTGGTTGTTAGGTAAATTAAATTGTTAACAAACAGTTTCTAAGCTTTCAAAATCGCAAATGCTGTTTGAAAATCATATTGCCCACTTGCATCGCTTGTCTATGATCAATGCATTGATTCTAAATTAAATCTTAACATACCATTGCGCAATTTTTGATGAATAGAGTATAGGCCTATGATTTTGCTTGTACATGCATTATCATTTTGTGTGCGTGTTTTGTACCTGTTAGTGTTTGAATCATTTGAATAACTCTGGAAAAAACCTGGATCCACCACTTGATCCACATAACTTTTCGCTTTGTTCGAAAGCGTGACGTCTGACGAACGAACATTTTTTGCTTTGGCCTAATCAGTGGGCTGGGGCGTAGAACGGAGTAGCTCACAAGAAGATTTGGCCCTGGGATCAGTCCTCGATTTAAGAGGGTGTTACAGTGGGTAACCAGTTAGCCTTCTCAGGTGGAATTAAATCTCCTATCATCAAATTAGTCTTGTTCGTTAGGTGAGACTTGTGAGTTATCGGACAGATCATTCGCCAGTTAGTACCGACGATAATCTGGTATTCTAATTTTCAGTGCCTTTTAACTTGACTTAGGTTTTACACCAAATGTGACTAATGGATTTTCTTATTTTCAGGTTTTCCTTTATTCTACAAAGCCTGAAGTAGCACAAGAGAATTTTTCATATATCAGCTGAGTAAAGCTTCGGAATTACATCTTGACATTGGGGAGACCGAGCACAATGGCTACAAGTTCGGGGGTTCCCCAGCCCGGCCCCTCCCGTGCACGTGTTCCAAACACGGCTAAAGAAAACAAAACCAAGACTGCAAAGAACAACAGTACAAGTGCTCGCAGGTATCTCATTAAAAAATGTTTTCTTGAACAATGATATCGTGGCTAAAATGTAACCCTTCGTGTGCCTCAAATAACCCAAACTAATTTGCATGTAAGCTTTGACAGCGTACTGTGACCAAACTGTTATATATTTTATATGTTCAATGTGTGATTCGTCATCTCCTTTATCTTAGGTTTCTTACAGTGTAAAGCCTTTTCCAGTATATTGAGATTTTAAAGAAATCTAGGGGAAAACTTTTTTAACGCCTTGTTCATTGTTAGGCTGTAAGTTGGGGCCTCCGAAGGGGAACACAGATGTGGTAGAATAGCACTTCAAATAATCAAAATCCATTAATAATTCATTGCCTCTGTAAAGCTGTGTATTTTTTTTCTGGTTCTTAATCTAATAGATGGGTAATAAAATGTTAACGTAGGAATCAGTATTAAATTTTCAGTTAACACTATTATCATAGACCTTTTTTTGCTAATCTTTTTTCATGAATTTAATCCTTCATATATTTATGTAATATTCCTTTGATTCCCAACTGTCAAACAAAATTCAGGGAAATAAATATAATCAGAAATGATTTTAAAAAAATAGAGGAATATTTTTTGTTCAGTGATGAAAGTAATGAATTTTATTCTGTAAAATAAACTGATAAATTATTTAAATATGTTTGCCATTCAGTTAATTGATAAAAAAAGATTGAAAACATTTTTAGAAAAATATTTCCTTTTTTCTCAGAGAAAAAAAATATCCTCAAAGAATTGAGTGGAATAAATCTAATAAAACTTTAGTCAAACCTCATCTCAAACCCAATACTTTACGGTTTCTGAGAATTCTAAATGTTGAAGGTAAAATTCTAGTAGAATTCATGTAAGGATTTTTCAACATATCCAAGGGGTTTTGAGAAATTGGTGCCTGAGATACCTAATTTAATTGTTAATTACAGCATTATATGTAAGTATTTTTCCCACCCAGTTTTCTTTTATATCAGTTAAACTGTACCTAAAACATTTTACCTTTTCTTGGATTAATTCCAGCTAGATGACCAATTTAATTCATTAGAAATATTTCACAACTGAGATTTACCTAGGATAGCCAGAAAAAGAAACTTTAAAAGAAAAAGTTGTAAATAATATGGTGATATGAAACTTTAAAACATCAAGAACATTCAATGTGAATGATTCTGCAGAGCTAATTCTAAAACAGATAAAAATAAATTACATGTACATTTATTTGTAAATTAACCTTGTAAACAGCAAGGGTCATGTGTCATAGTGTCTTTTTGTCCCCATGGATTTCTGAAAATCTGATATCTATTAAAAAAGACAACTTTCTTGCTCTAGTCAGTAAATAGTTTTGGCATCTATATTTAAGGAATGACTCTAATTCTTGGCCAAATTATCGAGTATAATATGGTTTGGGTCAGTTTACGCTTTATAATCCGTGAAGCGGATTATAAAAAAGCGTAAACTGACCCAAACCATATTATACTCGATAATTTGGCCAAGAATTAGAGTCATTCCTTATAATTTAATTTTAAAATAATTAAACAACTGGGGGTGTCAAATTGTGTTGTTTTTATGAGTTCAAATTTACCGCGCAATAATACAACCGTAGTAACGGAAGTGATGGGAAGCGAGGGGAGGTAAAAACTGATACATAGATCTAGCAGCCATGATGCTTGTTTACACGGGGTAAGATCGAACTACTGTTTGAAGTTAAAGGTACATTCATTAAATCTGGAATTTTCCATGAATCCCAAGGACTGGAAATGAGGGGATTGATGGATACAGATGATTCAGCTGGTTGTCAAGGGGGTGTGTCCCCATACCAAACCAGATTATACAAAATGTTATGCGTTCCTTTTTGGAAATCAACCAATGAGAGGCAAGAATACAAACAAAATTAAATTATTTGAAATAGGACAGAGGGTGCTAATTACCTTATCACATCTACATGTATTAGTAAATTATTTGGTATAGACATGTACAACTAAATTATTAAAAAGAAAAATACTAATTTCAGATTGCAAAGAGAGTTAGCTGAATTGACTCTAGACCCCCCACCAAATGTCAGGTAAGGGAGTTAGTCTGCATCATAAAAAATCAAAGAGGGCTTGATTGAGAGAGAGAGAGAGAGAGAGAGAGAGAGAGAGAGAGAGAGAGAGAGAGAGACTTATTTATTGTTTTTTAGTTCTTATTTTCTCGTTAGTAGACAAAGAGCGATATATGGTAAGTGTCTCAATTGGCCCCTTAAAATTAATATCTTAATTATACTTTATATATAGCTTTAATTTGTACAGCTATATATGTGACCTTTATTGGTCATTTTTATATTGATCAAAATGCCGTTATTTTAGAAATATGACATCATAAAAATTAAGTTTTCCCGCCATTTAAGCATATTTTGTGTAAAACTGCTTATTTTCAAGCAGTTTTTCTTCCAGAAAATATAGAGCGCAGCCTAGAACAAGATTTATATTTTTACCATAGATGTATCTTTCTAATACTAATTAGTGACAGAAAAATTATGTATGTTCTACACTGCGCTCTATGTTTCCCATAAGATAAAACATCGAGAAAAGGGCATATTTTTTGGCTTTTTTGCTAGATAGCATAAATAGCATTATTTCTAATGTCATTTACAGTTAGTGAGTGCATATAAATGTGAAAAATATATTGGAAATATTTCTAATATAATCTCTTCTACAAAATAAATATCAATTAAACATATCTGAATGTCATTCTAAAATGTAGATTTTTAGGGGGCCAAAT